GATAACACACATCAAATTGATATCAGCCTCTCCCCCCCACAATGACATTACTTCTTATTTACCCTCTTTCTCTATAGGTCATACATATATACACTTTAAAGACAGCATTTTGAAACTATTTACAACCAAAATATATATGACATCTTTCACGTTGGATGGGAAGGGCATTCTCAGCATCCTTAGGTGCCCCTAATGCTGGAACACAAACCATTTAATACTGTAACCTTCTTTAAGAATCCTGCCCAAACTCTGGGATTGCTGGATGAGTTAGAACCATCCAGCTCTCACCACAGAGAGAGAGGAAGTTATTCCAAAAGATATGGAAAGTAAATGCATATCAAGAGTGCTTCATGGGCAAAACAACTACAAGCAGAATTATCAGTTCCAACAATGAAAGTTAATGACTGGGAATCAAAGTTCTAGCCCACTTTTAACTCCTTTCCATGGTCAGTCATCAAATGTCTTTCCGTTTTCGTGAGGAAATCTGTATATGACCATTTTCAACCAGTACATGCATGAATGCAAAAGTGACCTTTAAGAGTAAGGACAAAAAGCATCCCCCACTTCTATTCTCATGTGTGTTCCTAGTAACAAGAGTGATATGACAGGATTCTAAGCTTTTCATGCTGCAATTCTGCACTTATGGCACTAACAGCATCCCAAGGAAGGCAACCAAGGTCTATCTTTTCCATTCTGGTGCAAAAGGGTCAAAGGCATCACGGGTGCCAAACATACAGCCTGTGGGCTAGATATGGCCCAAAGCTTTAATGTGGAGGATACTTCCTGCAGTTGCAGCCAAGCACCAAATCAAGATCATGATATCTTATAAAATACACATTCATAAATGGTAATAAATGGCAGTAATGCCTATGTGATAAACATAGTAAAGTGATAAATTTTATAAATGGCCCCATGACACCCCCCCAACACTAACATTGACATCTCTGCAATACACCAAATTGATATCATCTCTCCTCTAGCCAGCTGACAAGCAGTCAGGCCCAAGATCTAATTCCATTCCACATAAGGCACTAGCCAGAAAGCCCCCTTATAAACCTACATCAGCACTGTGGGCAACATAGATCTTGTTCTGCTGCCATTTGCTACAATTATCCCCTTCTCAATGCCATCAGCAGTAGTTTAACCACAGTGCCACGGCCTTTTTAGAGCCATTTATTATTAAAAAAAAATTAAAAAATGAATCAATGAGATGGGTCATTCCAGCACTGAATTACTCACAGGAGTCTCTGCTGTTTTTCGCCCTCTCAATCAGTGGCTGGAGACCAGACACAGGAAATGTGGCAAAGGAAACAAAACAAAACAAAAATAAGGATACAGGTCAGCATGTTCCAAGGAAACTTCCCCCCAACTGTGACTGAGCATCATCAGACTTAGTACTTTGTGCAGAGCTTTGCAGTTTATTCTGCTGACATCCTCAGGCTCCAGCTCAGAGATTATGTAAGAAGCTGGACACTTAGTCACAACCCCCAAAGTAAAACTCATCTTTGCCAACAAGACAGCTGTCTCCTCCTCACTCCCATGGACACTTCAGTATTAGATTTTCCCATGATGAAAAAGGGCTGTTTATGTTCCATATTAGCAAGTGAGTATATTTTACCTTTCAATTCCTTAAGCTTTCTTCTAGCCCCATTCTGCGAAAGGAAAGTCTTCATACTAATCCCAGGCCTAGAACCCCTTTATCACTAAGATTCACAGCTGTACTTTCACTTGTCACTAGCATGGAATCCCATCACTACTGCTTCACCTACACTGCCACTGCTCACCTACACTGCTACAAAGACTTTGATATCTGGCACCAAAACACATTAAAAGCATTCTTGAATGAAAAGAAGGCATAAATCCATGCTGGTCAGAACCAATTTAGTACAGCTGAAGAGCAGCTGGAAAAGACCAGGACTGAACAGCATGCTATAGCTAAAGAGATCAGCTTGCCTACTTGACAGGAAGAGATCAACAGCAGCCACCCTACCTTCTTTCCTGCCAGCTTGATCCGTGGAGTGAAACTGTTACACAGAAGCTGGCTTTTGGATGTGTAGAAACTAAAAAGGAAGAGCCAAGCTGTTCAGTGACTTTTAGAAAATTAATTATTTAAATAAAAACAAGCAGTTACTTAACTACTGAATAAGTGGCCACTGAGTGTGGGTTAGTTTCACCTGGATCCTACTCCAGAAGGATTCTTCTGGAGACAAGATGGAGACAGCAAGACAGACAAATAAACAGCTGCATGCAAGATCAAGACAAAGCTGTATAGTCCAATAAAGCCACATTATTGCATTCCCACACTCAACCTGCAACTCATCACACCCTAAAGAACTGCCTTCTCCAGTTCCCCTCCTCTTCCCTCCCAAAACTCTTCAATTCATAACAGCACCTGCCATTGGTAACTCTTCTGCAATCTACTTGGCTGTAGCTGGCATCAGCTGCTTACAACTCATGCCCAAGCCAAGACCTCTTCTATTTGAATTTATCTCAAAGAGCTGACTGTTATAATTTGTTCTGCAGTCAGAAAAGGCAAAATCTGGAACACTGCTCTTATGTAAGGCATAGATCGGGAGAAGCTTAAATACTTGGAAAAAGTGAACAGTCTGCTCTGTTTAAGCAGAGTCTCAGAACTGGGAGAAAAAAACTGCATTTATCTAGAGCATGTACTTACCTGAATTTAACATGACTAATGCTCATTAAGTACAGAATAATGTGTCTCAACTGATGTCAGGGTTGTAGTATCAGTTGACTATCTCCTTTCATTTTAATAATCAATCAGTCTCAAGTCTTTCATTAGAAGCACCGAAAATGACAGGCACTGGCTGGTTTCAAGGCTGCTACCTCCCCTTGTTTTAAAGGCATCTAATAGCAGCATTTGCCAATGTCTTCTGTGCCCTGTTTCTGGAGCCAGTTATTATGTAGTTAAACCGAGTACAATTACATTGGAAAGTAGACACAGAGGCCAAAAGAAGCTATTCATTTAAGTGTTTTTATAGACTTAATGAATGATGTAAGCAACAGGCAAGAAAATTGGTCCAGATGTTGTGTTATGCAGCTAGGGGAATTGTATGCTTATGCAACAGGCATACTAGCAGAGTACTTTGTACATACAAACTCTGCAAGGGATACAACTGGTACATGAAGAAGGAACACAACAGTACATGAAGAAAGACCATGCCTATATTACAGCTATATGGCAACAGTTGAACAAGCATAGTGGAGGCAGGTTGCTGCTTCATGTCTTTTAAAGAGAGAGAATATTCTCAGACAATCTTAACAGAAAGTCATCTGAAAAAATGGAAAAGAAACAAGCCAAGGTTTGGAGTAGACAATGCCACACTCTGAAACGCAATGTTTCATTTAGATCCTGGGCCTGGTACACTCTTTACAGAGGTCATACCCATAGCAGTTTATTCAGGATTTGCTTGTTTTCATGAGAAATGCTGAGCCATTCAAATGTTTTAACTATCTCATCTGATCAGTTTACATTCCTGCATTTCCTTAAGCACTCTTCAAGGACAAAGGTAAGACAGCTAAACACCCAAGCCTAAGATTACATCTCCCTACTTTACAGATTGCCCTATAACCTTTTGTATCTACGTTTGCAACCTATCATTTCTGTTGGGAAACGCCATGCTCTTCGCAGAAGCTGCATCTATGCTCTGCAAGTTGAACAGAAAAAAAACACAACATGGCAAAAAAATGTTGCATTCAATAGACAACTAAGGGAAAACTGTACCATGAATGCTCAGAAAAAGCTGGTGCATCTGAGAAAATCTCAACTCACACACTAACCTGTGGTTTATCCAGTGTGGAATATTGTAGTCATCTCCCAAGCGAGAATCTCCAGGACAACTGCGATTGTGAAGCTAGAAGAAAAAGTTGGCAGATGTAACAGGTACTCTGAGCTTCCTCTAGCTCAGTGGTTCCCAATCTGTGGTATGCGTACCACCAGTGGTATGCACACAACCTGTCAGTGGCACATGTTAATAGATTTATTATAATTACTTCATATGACAAAAAATTGCTGGTGGTACTGGAGATTGAACTAAAAAATGTGCTGGTGGAACCTAAGGTTGTATCTTTTAAATTGGTGTGTAATCTGTCAGTTTGGGAACCACTGCTCTAGCTGGTCAAATAATAAGCTAAATAGCAGTAGCAACAAGTATCCATTACCTTAAAGAGTGGTACAGCATGCAGCGGTTGCTCCCCCATACATACCAAGTCCACACCAATACCTGTAAACAAAAAAGAACAGTATAGCCACAAACTACCCATAGCTGTTACTAGAGGTGCACTGATGCATCAGTCTGATATCAGATCGGCACTGATACAAAGAAAACTGCCTGTATCAGAAATCAGCCTGATGTGGCCAATAAATGCCCCATGCAAGCGCACAGCTGCAGTGCAGCATGTACGCAGCAAGGAGCACAGCCTGGCAGCATGGAGAGGTGCATGCAGCTGGTAAGTCTGTTGTGGTGGAAGGGGAAGAGGGAAGGTAAGGGGCACAAAGGGGCAGATCAAGCCCCCCCTCAAGAACAGAGCTGCGGCTCATCCAGGAGGTGCGTGGGGGGGTGCAGATCTTGCCGCTGTGCATGCCATGAGAAGCATGTGCCCCCGGGATCTGCATGGGGCAGGGTGGGCTGCAGCTGAGGGCTGAGGCCGGGGCCGCATTGGGCTCTTCCTGGCAGGAGCTGGGCCAGGCTGTGCTCAGGGTGGGGAATTTGGGGGTCTATGGGAAATTTTGGGGGAGCTGCAGCCCCCAGCACCACTGCTGCCCACCCCGAGCACAGCCTGGCCCAGCTCCCAGCCAGGAAGAGCCTGGAGCAGTCCTGGCCCCAATCCGCAGCAGCAGCAGCCCATCCTGCCCTGCACAGATCCGGAGGCACACACCCCCCCATGCCCTCCCAGGGTGCATGCAGTGCTGGGAGCTGCCCCTCCCTCCCCCCAGGACAAGCCGTGGCTCCATCCTGCACCCCTCCCTGGCAGGACAGCATTTGTCCCAGCCCCTGTCCAACTCCCTCCCTCACCATGGGGGCTTGATCTGCAAAGACTGCCCATGTCACTTGCGGCATGTGTGCCACACATTGGCCCTCCCCCCTGATTACACAGAGAAAGCACATAAGGGGAACTAGGAAGCGTTTCCTCTGAACTCACACAAATCATACACCATTGTCCTTTAAGTGCTGAGCACACACAAATCCCCCAAGAAGTCAAAGGGAGCTGCAAGGGTTTGGAAACACTGAAAAATCAGGCCAGATTTGCATTTAGTGCATCAGTAAGTCCCCCAGATTTGTCCTTCAGAAAGATGTATTGTAAGACCTGACAATGCTGTGTTTCTGAGAACGAAGAGAAGCTCTGGTTCCTGAAAAATTAAAGTTGTTTCTTTACCATTGTCTATCATTCGCTGCTTGGTCAGGATCATAAGAAGCCGGTCCACTTCAAACACACCCACCCCAGGTGTGATAACCACAGACATCTGTCCAGTCCGGTCAAAGTTCCGGTTTATGTAATGCTTGTCAAACACTAAAAGATAAGTAAGAATCCAAGAGCGTGTATAGAGCTTAAAGAAATATCCAACATCTTTTTCTTTAAGAGTTGGAAATGTGACACACTATTGATATTAAAAAAGCAACCATAAACAATCAGACACAAATATAACAGAACCTGTATTTATCCATAAGCAGCCAGCTATAATGCAGTGGTCAGTAATGTTTTCCCTCTGCTTTTAAAATATGTGTTGGATTGGCATTAAAAGTAGGAGGAAGAAGAAAAAAGTAAGGGATGGGAGGAATAAGTAATAGGTGGGTGTTTTTCTAGTCAGAATTTGCTTTCTTCCAACTCTGGAGATGCCAAAGACAATAAGTAACTGAATCAGGTAGCACAAAGAGCCACTGCATGACGGTGGCTGGAAAACTCTGATGTAATGCTCACATATAGATGCATGCTTAGATGAAGGAAAATAAACTGGCTAAAGATGACAAAGCTTTGATATAAGCCCCAGGACTCAGAACTGCCAAACTTCAAAGCATTTGTTTTTAATGCCAGTTCACTCAGAAGAAAATGCAAATAAGTTTCTCCTGCAAGCAAGGGAGACAAGTTAATTTTTCCTTACTCACCATTGAAAGAAAGATTTATGGCCTCCAGGTAGTTCCCTTGTGCTGAAGTAGAATTGTAACCTGGAGGGAAGCCCTCTAGACAAAAGTTTAAGAGAAAAAAAAACTTAATTTATCATCTGTATAAAGACAAATCACCAACAAGGAGCATTTCCTAGAATATTTGAAGCTATTCCCACCATGCTGCCCAATACATAGTCAGGACTTGTGATTCTCAGGCCACCCCACACAGTACCAGAAGGAAACCAGAAGACATAAAACTATCATTTGTGGGGCAAGCATCAGCAGAGGACGCCAGACACTACAAGGCTGAATGTAAAGACTCAGCAACTTAGATTAAAGAAGATCTCCCCTACCTGCCTGCTCCAGCCGCACCAGCACAGGATATTGGATGAAGAGTTTTTTAATAGTCACAAGCAATGATGTCCACTCTTCTCGTCTCTCATTCTGAACCACAACCCTGAAAGTAACATATTTTGAGGACCACAAAAGGGAGGTTATCATGCAGGTTCTCAGAGGAAGTTATAGAAAGTGAGAGGGAAGGACTGATAACCTACAGTTAAAGCAAAAGAAAGCTACAGAAGGAGGAAATAAGTATTTCTACAATGTGCTCTCACAGATAAGAAAGTAAAGCCTCAAGAGATAGCCAAGCCTTACATAAATGTTATGTCTTAACACTACAGAAAAAGCATGTAATCTCTGAAGTCTGTAAACAATTTCTAGAAGTGGCAGTGTGACAACTCTGCATTCAGCAAAAATGAACACATCTGAGCTGGGGAAGAAGTGGTCAGTGGCCAGGCTCAGGGAAAGATGCTTTTTGATATACTAAGATCATGTCCTTCTGAGGCACTCTAGCAAGAAACCTGATATTCTCCAAAGGGGTCCTAATTAATGAGAGTTCCATGTGAATTCTAAGGCACATCTATCCCTTAAACGGTAAGAGTTAACATACTTGTAGAAGTCTTCATAAAATCTTCCCTCATGATCCTGCCGAATTGAGGCACGATGTATCTCAGGAAACTCATCTGAAATGGAAATGAAAGTGGGGGTGAAGATCATTCATTCTAAAGCATTTCTTGAGAAGCAGCCATTTCCGGAGTAAATCTAAACCTTGGAGGAAAAACAAAACAAGAACACGAATTTTCCTGATCATGTTACATTTCATTTTAAAATGAAGACACAGGGCATCCTTGTACAAGAGTTTGAGGACTATGGAGACAACTGACCCATATCCTTTCATATAATACTGCTTAAAGGATTTGCACAAGGAATCATCATGCACCTACTGTGTTTGACACTGGACATCTTGGAGAAAGAACAAGCTCATTAAGGGAAAAACACAGCTTTGCATTAGGCTATGGATAATAAAGTAAACTGCTAACTATGAAAAACACTCAACACAACTCTCTTCCCACCCATTTCTGCAGGATGGTGAGGACTTTATAAGAACTACAGAAGTATACACAGGTCTGTGCAGGTCCTAGACTGCTCTCTGAAACTATAGAGGCTGAAGGAAGGCAATTATTTCCCAAAATGCCCATGGTCACCAATGCTTCCTGTATAACATACTTCTAATCAACTCTAAAACATAGCATCCATTAATGAAATCAAGTCCTCCACCGACATTCCACCCATTCTGATAAGCTTCCAAGAATGAAGGGAACAGTTAAAGTAGTGGTCACCAACTGGTCAATTGCAGAGCCTCTTGCAGTTGATCTGAGGCTGTGGGAAGAGGCCCTGAGTGTGCACATGCATGTGCACACCCCCACCAGCCCAGCAGGTCAGTCTGTGGGGGAGGGAAAGGCAGGGATCAGATTGAGGCCCCTGCAGTGAGAGACTGAGAGCCCCGTTGTGGGCTGGGCTTTGCACCCCAAGCCCCGATGCAGCTGGCCGGGAGTGGCTTGACACCATGTGTGTCTGCCACCAGGGGATGAAACTCAGCCCAGGGCAGGACGCATGCTAGGCTGAGCCACTCCTGGGCCAGCTACAGCAGGGCTCATGGTGCAAAACCCAACCCACAATGGCTGCTGCCTCTGCCAAGCATTGATGGGGGGGCATGTGCCCCCCTCAAATGCAGGGCAGTATGGGCAGGTGCAGCAGCAGTGTGTGAGGGAGTGGGGCAGGGGCAGGCCCTGTACAGCCAGGGCAGGACACAGGACAGAGCAGCAAGCAGCTTGTGCAGGAGGTGCAGGGAAGGGGGACATGCAGCCCAGGAAGGTATGGGGGGCATGTGCCCCCCAGATCTGCACGTGGGACAGGCCAGGGCAGACTGGGGCCATGATGCGCTCAAGCCAGAAATGGCAGCAGTGGTGCTGGGAGCAGGGCTATGGAGGGCCTGCAAGCACGCAAAAATTAGCTGTAGCCCCCACAACTCCTTCCCAGAACCATTGCTGCCACCCACCCTGAGCACAGTGAGGCCCAACCCCCACTGGGAAGAGCCTAGCACAGCCTTCCCCCTGCCCTGCCCCTGCCCCTCCTCTTCCCCACCCCCGAGGGCACGGGTGTCAAGTGCCCAGGATCTGCATGGTGGGGGACGGTGGGCTGCCACTGTGGGCTGGGAGGCTGCACCAGGCTTTTCCTGGCACTGGTTGGGCTGTGTTGTGCTCGGGGTGGGTGGCAGTGGCAGCGCTGGGCCGGGGGACTACGGCAAATTTTCAGGTGCCTGCAGCCCCACCCCGTAGCCCCCACTCCCAGCACTGTCATTGCCTGGCCCGAGCACAGCATGGCTCAACACCCGAACAGCCCGCCCCATCCCACCCACAGATCCAGGG